AAAAAAAAAAAAAAAAAAAAGAAGTAAAAATACCTGATGCAGAATAGACATGCAAATTATCATCACGGAAATGCCCATTTCTTACATATATGCGTATATGTGTGTTACGTGTACATATACATCTATGCACACATTTATATAAGTTTTTATCAACTATGCCTGGGGTATTTTTACTTAGACCTTCTGGCAACCCTGACTATCACTTGGCTCCCTTCAATGCCACCACTCTCCTTCCCCATCATCAAGCACTGCTTACCAGCCTGAGCATGTCTACAGCCTGCTGGGGTCATGCCGAGGAAAGCAGAACTGATTCTTTGGGCTGAGTGAGTCCACTGAAAGTCTCAGAGAAGAAGAATATGATTTTCAATAGTACCTTATTCAAACATTTATTGTGTATCAAGTCTGCACTGGATTGTGCCACACAATGCAGCTACAGCCACAAATAAGACACAGCCTGTGCCCTTGTCAACCAATGTGACTACCACACAGCAGGAAGCCAGGGGAACTGTAGGGAGCTCAGGCTGGGGGCAAAAAGGCAGGAAAAAACAGGGAAGCTAAAGAAACCCAAGAGACATGTCAGGAACAGAGTCTGTGGCCCATTTTACTGTCCAGGTTTCTTTCCTCACCAAATCTCAGTTAGTTCCCACCAGGACTTTCCCCATGGAAACTCAGAATTCTTTGGAACTCTCTTAAGAGATCTCAGTGTCCTGCTTTGTTTGCCTGTAAATAAATGGAATGAATATTTCTGACATGTTTACTCAAGGATTTGAGTCTCTGGGTGTTATGGCACTAAAGAAGAGGAAACACTTCCAGAAGAGATCTGAAAAATATCTTTTGTTTTATAAAGATTGTGAGGATAAAATAAAAGTACTAAAGTCTTAATTAGACACCATTCATTATCACTCTCTATGAAATACTACAATACTTTCCAATACTTCAGTGAACAAACACAAAGCTAAAATTTTGGCACAGTCTGACAGCTGGCAAGGATGTCTGGCCAGTCTGTAAAGCTGTCTTTCTCCTAGGACCTCCTGTATAGAAAATGCAGACTGCCTCCGAGCATAGTTTAAAAGGGGAAGAAGTCTTGAAGAGCAATTACTCAGCTTCTCAGAGGCAAATGAATAGACCAGGATTAAGCTAGAGACGCCGAGTCTCTCCAGATTACCACCTGAAACATTTAGCCATAGATAAAAAGGAAATCTGTGAAGGATGAACCCATCAGTGGAGACAACCATCTCATTCCAAATGAAGAGCCAAGAGACAGCTTTTTTTTTTCAAAATAGACTCTCCCTCTGTTGTCCTAGGCTAGTAGAATGCCATGGCCTGTCATACTGTGTTTCCCCGAAAATAAGACACTGTCTTATATTTATTTTTTCTCAAGAAGACACACTGGGGCTTATTTTCAGGGGTAAAGGTATTCCAATCTTCCTTACCATTCCGTGCCGAAATGCATTACGTGGCTATGCAGATATGCTGCATAGCCACGCCTATCACTAGGTCTTATTATCGGGGTAGGGCTTATATTTAACAAATGCATAGAAATCCTGCTAGGGCTTATTTTTTGGTAGGTCTTATTTGGGGGGAAACTTGGTAGTTCACAGCAACCTTAAACTCCTTGACTCAAGTGATCCTCTTGCCTCAGCCTCCCCAGTAGCTGGGACTATAGGCACCTGTCACAATACCTGGCTAGTTTTTCTATTCTTAGCAGAGACAGGGTAACACTCTTGCTCAACCTGGTCTCAATCAAACTTCTGAACTCAGGCAATCCACCTGCTTCCACCTCCCAGAGTGCTAGGATTACAGGCATGAGCCACTGCACCCACTGTGCCAGACAACATCTTGCTCTTTAAAGTGGTTGGTCCTGCTATGCCTGACACCTCATTTACAAAGACACTAAGCCAAGCCCAAACCAAAGTGAAAACAGTGGTTACTGTGTACAGATTTCTATAGTTTACCAAATTCCTTGAACTTTACCAGGAAGTGTCTGTGAATAAATGGTGGTAGACTGAGAAAAGTGAACCCTCAACTGCCTGTATGTAGGCATGCTTGTTTCAGTTATCATCTGTAAAACAAATCACCCTAAAACAGAGTGGCCTAAACCCACAAATATGCCATTATGTTCCTCTGTCTTGGTGGTCAGGAATTTTAAAAGGACACAGAGGGGATGACTTGTCTCTGCTCGGCAATGCCTGAGGTTTCCACTATGGTGACTCCAAAGGGTACATCTGGAATAGGAGGATCAAGAGAATCCACTTTCTGTACCCACTTTCCTTACTTACATGGCTGGCACTTGGCCTGGCTGGCAGAAAGGCAAGCTCAGGTGAGGCTGTCACCCAGAGTGCCTATATGTGGCCTCTCCAGCAAAAAAATTTCTTCCATGACATTCCAGGCTCCAAGCACAAGTGTTCTGGTGAACAGGAAAAAGCTGCACGGACTTTTGTGACCCAACCTCCAGAGCTCACCTACAGTCACTACGCCCTCTCCATCAGTACCAGGGCTTCTTTATTCTTTCTTGGTCTGGTGGAGTTTCTAGAGAAGGATATTCTAGGCTCCTAGCTAGAAGATACAAATCTGTCTGTCAACATTTTGGGAGCTGAGTATAAAAGGGGTCTGGAGTGGTCTTAGATTCAGAATGTAAATATTTCCTTAATCCCTTGGTTTTCAATATTGTACTCCCACCCTCAACTATGTCTGACAATCCTAGGACAGAGCCCCTGTGTTTTATGGTCTCCAGTCTCCACCCTTCAGCCTCCTTCCAGGTGGTTTCAGAGTAGAAAACAATTGTAAGTCCATGGGTTGAGAGAGGGGATCAAACTGGTTTTTAAACAGACTGTCCACTTTTAGCATTACCTCCCCTCTTCCAGGATGAGCCATGCACCAATTCCTAAAGCTTTTAGTAACTCTGTGGTACAGAAAAGGCTTCTTCTCAGCCTTCCCACTGCTGGCCCAAAGGCTTTCTCAAGTATTTCACATTGTGCTGATGATGTTTCTCCTTTCTCATTACACTTTTATGTTTATACCTTTCTCCCTCCAAAATTCATTTATTACATCTGAATTTTCTGAGCAATTTAGAGGCAGAAAAGTAAATGTGTGTGCCCAAGCCACCATCTTGACCCAAAAGTGCCAGAAGTAAAATTTATCCCAGAGCTCTTTATACAACAAAAGATAGAATTTCAACATTACCTGAGAATTCAATTAATGTTTAAAAATCAAAGAAAAGGCAGAGAAACTTATTAACACAACCAGTTTGAAACAACTGTTGGCATATTTCCCCAGCAGGGAATACACCATAACCACAAAGGTGGTTTCCCCAAAGTGAGGCTTTTCCTTGCATTCCAGATGTGCTGACCCCTATGATTTCCTCAAATGTGAGAAACTTTACTCCATATTTGTGGCCATTGGAAACTATGTTTGCACTCTCCCTTAGAAAAGAAAAAACAGTTGCCAATCATTTTGGATATTATACCAAAAGCACAAGTAACAAAAGCAAAAATAAACAAGTGGGACTACATCTAACCAAAAAGTTTCTTCACAGCAAAGGAAACAATCAACAAAATGAAAAAGGCAACCTACAGAATGAGAGAAAATTTGCAAACCATATATCTGATAAGAGAGTAATATCCAAAATATATAAGTAACTCAAAATACTAACAAAAAAAAACATAGCCCAATCAAAAAGTGGGCAAAGGACCTAAATAGACATTTTTCCAAAGAAGTCATAAAAATGGCCAAAGAGTTTGTGAAAAGGTGCTTAACGTCATTAATCATCTGGGAAATGCAAATCAAAATCACAATGAGACATCACCTCACACCTCTGTGATGCTATGATAAAATAAGACAAAAGAAGTATTGGCAATCGATATGGAGAGAAGAAAACCCTTATCCATTATTGAAAATTGGTACAACTGTCATAGAAAATAGTATGGAAGTTCCTCAAAAAACTCAAAAAAAGAACTACCAACCTGGATAGAGTTGAAACACATTCTTCTTAGTAAATCATCACAAGAATGGAAAAGCTAGTACATGGTGGGAAGTGGGGGAATGGGGAAATGGAGAGAGGGAAGGGGGGAGAACATAAGATTTTACCTGCCAAATGCAAGCAGTGTAACCTGCTTTGTACCCCTCATGATTCCCCAACAATAAAAGAAAGAACTACCATGTAGTCTAGTAGTCCCACTTCTGGGTACCTATCCAAAGGAAATAAAATCCCTATCTGAAAGAGATAACTGCATCACCACATTCATTACAGCATTATTTGCAAGAGCCAATATATGGAAACAACCTAAGTGATCAACGATGAATGGACAAAGAAAATGTAGTGTGTGTGTATGTAGACACACACACAATGAAACATGATTCAGCCTTTACAAAAAGAAGGAAATCCTGCCATTTGTGACAATATGGAGGATAGGGAGGATATTATGCTAAATGAAATAAGCCAGGCACAGAAAGAGAAATTCTGTGTGGTCTCATTAGTATGTGGAACCTAAAAGGGGGTAAACTCATGGAAACAGAGTAGAAAGGTAGTTACCAGCCATTGGGAGATAGGGGAGATGGGAGATACGGTCAAAGAATACAAACCTTTAGTTATAAGAGCAATACATTCTGGAGATCTAGTGTACAGAATGGTGACTATAGTTAATAAAAATGCATCGTGTACTTCAACTTTTCTTTTTCTTTCTCTCTTTTCTTTTTTTTTTGGAGACAGAGTCTCACTTTGTTGCCCTTGGTAGAGTTCCATGGCTTCATAGCTCACAGCAACATCAAACTCTTGGGCTCAAGAAATTCTCTTGCCTCAGCCTCCCAAGTAGCTGGGACTATAGGCACCTGCCACAATGCCCAGCTATTTTCAGAGACAAGGTGTCCTTCTGACTCAGGCTAGTCTGAAACCTGTGAGCTCAGGCAATCCACTTGCCTCAGCCTCCCACAGGGCTGGGATTATAGGTGTGAGCCACAGGAGCCCAGGCCTGTACTGGAAATTTTCTAAGAGAATAGATCTTAAGTATTCTTATCACAAGAAAAAAGCTAATTATGTGAGGTGATGGATATGTTAATTATCTTGATTGTAATATCATTTCATAATGTATATATACATAAAAATATCACATTATATACCTTAAATATATATTATTTTAATTATAAAATAATTTTTGTTATCAATAAAACTAGCAAGGAAAAAATTTATTTGGCAATTCTACAATAACTGAAAATACCCAAAATCTATTCTACTTCTAGGTGTATATCCAATAGAAAGATACATACTTCATCAAAAGTCATATACAAAAATGTCCATAGTATTCATATTAGCAAAAAAACTAAAATGAATCACAATGCCTTCCAACAGTGAAATATACAATAAATCATGATATATTCCTAAAATATACACAACATACCCAAGGGAATACTATGAAATGAAAATAAGCAAAGTACAGCTATATTTAAGAATATGAACATAATTTAGAGTGAAGAAAGGCACGCACTAGGAAGTACGTGTTATAGAATTCTACTTCTGTCAAGTTTAAAACCTTTCTCTGATAATAGAGGTCATTAAATCATTCACCTCTGAGGGAAGGAATAATTGGTAAGAGTACAAGGGAAGCTTCTGGGGAGCTGGTAATTCCCTAATGTGGGAAGCATTCCATAAGTGTTTTCCCTTTGTATAGTCCTTACTAGTACATTTATGATTTGCCCATTTGTTTATGTTACACTTCAGTTAAAAAGTTTCCTTCAGGCTCGATGCCTGGAGATCAGTGGTTAGGGCGCAAGCCCACACCAGGGCTGGCAGGTTCAAACTCAGCCTGGGCCTGGAACAACAGTGACAACTGCAACAAAAATACCCAGGCATTGTGGTGGGCACCTGTAGTCCCAGCTACTCAGGAGGCTGAGACAGGAGAATCACTTGAGCCCAAGAGTTCGAGGTTGCTGTGAGCTATGACACCACAGCCATCTACTGAGGGCAACAAAGTGAGACTCTTGTCTCAAACAAACAAAAAAAAAGTTTCCTTCAAAAAAAAAAAAAGGTCAACCACTAAAGTGACTCATATGGTCCCAAATTCTCTGATTTAAATTTAAATTGTTGTGTTACTAAGTTCAATGTAAACATTTCACACTGTATATTGAAGCAGTACCCTGAACCCCATAAATGTATCAATATACAAAATAATTAAAAATAAATTTAAATTGTTTCTTAATTTCAGATGCCAGCTTTGCCACTTGTTAAAATATGGCTTTAGTTAAAGCACTTAAATTCCTCTATAAAATTAAGATGGAATCATTCATTCATCCAACCAAAATACATTGCTTCCATATTATATGTACTTGAGATATAGCAATGAACAAAACACAACCAACCCTTACCTTCATAGAAGCAATATTCTGAAGGGAAAGGAAAAAATGCCTTCTCTACCTACTATAGATAACTTTTGTGAATCTCAAGAGACTGTGGTCTGTGAACCAACAGCATCAACACCAGCTGGAAACTTGTTAGAAAGGCAAACTCAGGCCCCACCCTGGATCCCCGGGTCATTTACAAGCACGTTGCAGTTTGAAAAGCACTGCCACAGTACTTTGTGAATCATAAAATGTTGTCAACTGTAGGCTATTATTATTGTTAGTCATGCTCACCGGAAAATTGGTACAACCCAGCAAATAAGGGCTCTGAGGATAAGAAAGTACATGTCCATTCCCATCTTTAAAAGCTTTAAAAGGTGTCCTATTTCCAGGACATGTTATTATGGAGTATTTCTTTCTACTGTATGTTTTTTAACTGAGTCCCCATTCTTCAAGTCAGTAGACCCCTGCATCTAAAGCTCCGATAATGAAAAATCCACTGGTTAACCTCATTGCTAGGTTTTTCAATTGGTTCCACACCCTTTCCTGGTAATTCAACAGTGAGCCCAGGAAGAATACATCAGTAAAGTAATAAAATGTTAGACGATACAGGCTTGAGATTTACAGAGTTTTGTTGGTGTGTCCCGGATTCATTCTGTGCCTTTCATCCCCTGTCTGGAAGAGTTAGCTCAACATTTTCCTGCAGGCTGTTTGGTGGATCTCCACTGTCTTGTTCAAAGGTGCTTTTGTGAAAGTGAGAGTGTGGGAAGCAACTGATTGGGGGAAGAGGATGTTGAGCTGGGACTAGGGGCTAATCAGTTCTTCAACAACTGTCTTACTAGAGAAAAGACAAATTTGTTCCTACAGAAATATTACTCAAAAATACAAATCATCCAGTAATCATAATAAAATGCTATTTTAGGGCAGCGCCTGTGGCTCAAAGGGGTAGGGCACCGATCCCATATACTGGAGATGGCAGGTTCAAACCTGGCCCTGGCCAAAGACTGCAAAAAAAAAAATGCTATTTGAGATTCACTAGGTATGGGGTGGGGCCCCAAATTATTCATTTCTGATATGCTTCCAGTTGAGACTGATGTTACTGATTCCCAGACCGCACTTCGAGTAGGCAAGTCTTGTCCTACGGGAACTTAAAAGGAAGCAAACAAGTAATTCTCAACCTCTAGGCTCTGAAGACATACAACAGGGTCTTCTGATAAAAACCAATGTCCAGCAAACCAAAATCTGGTTCTTTAAAAATTTAGAAATCAAGAGCCATATTGAAACTGTCGATACATATTTAAACATAACAGTTTATATAAAAACTGGAAATGCACTAAAATGTTAAAATCTATATTTTCTTCTCACTGATTTCTACTTTCTAAATTTTCTAAAATAAAGAGTATTTCATTTCAGAATTAATAAATACTCGTTTTTAAGATGTTTATTTTTATATATAATCCCAATCTCAAGCTATAGACATTGAATACTGGATAAAAAGTGCGTGGCTTCTCCACAAATATCACACTGCAACATAGTCACGCTCTCTCTGACTCTTCTCTCCATCTTTCCTCCAGTAACTGGCTCTTTGGGGCAGCTGTAAGGGCTGCAAGAGGTCAAGTTGTACTGGACTCCAAATGTATCTAATGTTACATTTTCTAAGGTAAAGAATTGCAGTTCTCAAATGAGAGCTACAACCTAATTCTTGCCCAAGAATATGGGGAAAGGGTGGGGGAGGGGAGGGGAGAAGGGCGGATGGGTGAAGGGAGGGTGACTGGAAAGATCACCTACATGGTCTGTCTAACAAGGGTACAAGTGAATTTTTCTAGAACTAGAGTATAAATGTTTTAACATAATAACTGAGTAAATGACACAAAGTCTATGTTAACCAGTTTGATGAAAATATTTCAAATTGTATATGAAAACACTGTACCCCATGTTTGCATTAATGTACACAGCTATCATTTAATAAAAAAAAAAGAATTGCTTTTGGGGCCTTTGGTTTTACCATCTTCACAGTGACAGTGTGTGTGGCTTCATTAATAGTAGATCACTGCTTCTCTTTAGGAGTCTTTAATGATGAAAAGTCCTCATTAGA